GCGATTGTGTCTACAACCCATAGAAGAAGAGTGGGTATACAGACCGCCAGAGATACCTCTCGAAGTGGAAGTCGTACAATAAATCGATAGGCCACCAGCCTAATAGAATTAGCGTGCACCATTCATCGATCGTGTATGCTTACCATTGCATCATCATGAATGGGCAGATCCAAGCTAGAATGAGCCCTAGGTAGGTATACCGTCCACCTTGAAATATACTAGCCAGTCCCAAAAATTGACACGAGCCGATAATGACAATTCCTAGATTTCTTTTCAGTGCATCTTGCGGTCCAAGATACATAGGCATAACAAAGCGCTTTGTTAGAATAATGTACGCCAGGCTTGTATTGTACGTCTGAATGACGAAGAAGAAAACCTCCTCGATGGGGATCAAGCATATTCTCGGTCCTAGTATCGCATATGGTGGGTATGTCCAGATCCGAGCCCTGATAAGATAGGAGTCCCAGGGAATGGTTGATATGACCGCAATCTGGATGTATCAGCAGGTGTCGTACATTGGATTGAGAGGGCATACCGTAATAAGCGTTGCTATTCTGTATAGTTCCAGCTTTGTAAAGAAAGGCCAGTAAGCCAATGTCATCACCACTGCGAGTGGGATGTTGTATGTCAAATGCCTAGATAATAAGCATGGCTAGCATAACATGTTACTTCGTATACTTACACCATAAGATAGTCTAGGCCCATTTTGAAGTGTCTTGGATGATGTCAATATGTGAACTGCAGAGACCGAGAAATCGACGGATTCAAAAACTCCCAGCGTCTATTGCAACAAATGTGTGGTGGAAATACTATTGCCGTTTCCACTCTGGACGTAGCATTGCTTTATAGATCTTGGATCGTGCAGATCATTGAATGTCGTCAATCACCCCTCGGTGGCCAGTGTGGCTACTAAAGTTTGACACGCATAGTGAACTTTATTGGTATGCCTATTTAGGCATATGGTGCGTCTGAGACTTAATATCGAAATCGAAAGATACAGGACCACATATTACACTGTTACCGTTACCGATACAGGCTTAATACACATGACGTAGGTAACCCTGGTTCGGGGGCTCACAATTTGAAGATAAACTTGGAGCTTCGTCAAGGTCTGTCTTGACCCAACTGTCGTTCACCCTATTAGGCTGCCATTGGAGCGCGAATCTGTATCCACTGTGACATCTTACTGAAGTCTAGCAAGGCCTTGACCGTCGTAGCCTACATAAAAAATTGTTTCATCTTTCTTTGGGGTGAGACTTCCGGCAGAACTGAATTACCATTATAGCATTCAGACATTTTTCATTGGTAGCGCTATAAAAAGGTAAGATTTCGGGAATTCTCAAGTTTCTAACGATGTCTAACCTTTAAGTGGCTGACAGCCTACATGAAGCATAACAACGCTACTGAATCCCCTTCGGCATGACCACCGTCTATGGCAGTTATAGACTCTTCTACGCTTCTTTATGGCACACGCTCCGTTTACACCAATCGACATGATGATATGAAGAGAAGAAAATTCCGCGACCTTGTGATCAGCGACAACAAAACAGTTCCCGGTGATGCAATCGTAGCGAAAAGGTCCGTCAACGCCATGCCATCTGCCGACGATGCGCCACAGAAAGATGCCTCGTGCGAGCCTAATATCTAATACTAACATTTTGTACATAGTATGAGATTGGTATGTTTTCACCTACTCTCATAATAGAGACTTTCCTCGGCGGTAAGCCGGGGGTGGGGAGAATACGAAGTACCTACCAGGCTAGGGGGGCTTGTGAAAAGCTATCAGAATGATGTCCACGGTGACGTGGCGCATGCAATCATGAACTCAGTCCAAAGTCTAGTTGTATTGTTTGCATACATAAACGGACCCAACTGTACATGCCATTCGAAATGACAATTGCGCTAACGTCTGAACCGGCTGTTTGATGCCACCGTCGAACTGTCCACCAGCAAGCGCTCGCAGAAAATAAAGTAATCGTTTGCTTGGGTTGAAGAAAAGGATGCGCGGCTAGTTCGCCTGCCGTTCTTCTCTTATTCGGGTGCCAAACCAGAATTTTCTTGACAAGGTCAACGAAGTTATCTCTCTCTTCTTCATCGAGAAAGGAAACCGCGTCGTCTAATGTTCGGTTGGGAATCAAGTCTTCGTATATAAAGCGACCTAAAATAAGTAAGAAATCTGGAAATCTCCAGATAAGGACACACATAATACCGTTGTTGTCAAAGAATGGCCCATCGAAGTACTCCTCCGCGGTCTCACATAGTCTGTCATCTTCTCGTCTAACAGGTTCCGGCCACGGGTATTCTCGCATGTCTTGATACCTTTGCATGATCTCTGGAGGGGGTGGGCCGAGTAAGGCCACCATTTCAGCCATGTGTAGTTTAGCATCGTAGCGCCCTTGTTCATCATGGATATGCTGAAATAGCTCTTTGCCTTCAATCAAATCCCATAGCTTGTCCCAAGTTAGTGAATGCAACAGACTTATGGAATAACGGAACGTACCAGAACACCAAGGTTCCAGATATCTGCAGGCATTTGCCACCCAATACCCAATATCACCTCTGGTGCGCGATAGTGGTCCGGCTGAATAGGCCAGACACCCCAGTCATCGTCTTCTTCGAGTCTCGTTGCCAAGCCAAAGTCAACAAGCTGTGGTATACTTCTCAAGCTTTTGAGTGGCCCGAAGTCACTGCGAGACTGATACACTGGTCGCCCTGTCGAATCGACCTTAAAGGCCATTGGCTTTTCAAGCTGGGATTCAATAAATTCAGCAAGAACAGTTGGGTCCTCAAATGAGACCATGTTGTTTTCGAGCTTTATATCTACACAGTCACCTGAGTTCAGTACCACCGAGAAGCCTTGAAAGGGGCGTGATGGACTTACCTGTATGAACAGTCCTGCAATCTTTGTGAAGATAATCGAGGCCCGTAAGAAGGGCACGGATGTATGTTTTGACGAGTGGCAATGGCATCTTTTTCTCATCAAAACGCCGTTGATACATCGATAGTGGCTCCCTCATTGGCGGATACACAAGACATGAATGAGAACCTTCTGGACCTTCAATTTGAAAGGAGTCCAGTAATGTTCGGATGATTGAGCGGCCGCGATGCGATGGGTCTGCCGTAGAGATGTGCTCTTCAACTTCGCACTCATGACCAGCAAAGCTTGCGTTGTTATTGGCAATCTTTAGTGCCACAACACTCCCGGGCTCCTCAATCTGCCTGTATGTTGGTCAGCGACAGCAAGTCTCGAATGGCGGAGATTTTATTGAAGGCTACCTTTGCAAATCACACGCAAGCCATACCGTTGAAGACACGCCCCAGCCAACCTTTACCAGAGTCTGGTAACGGTCGCCGAGTACCTCTCCCGGCTTCGCTGGATAGAAGTACTTGGGATTGTATACTGGCGAGATCTCCTCATCAACGAGTATGCCGGGCGGTAAAGGTGGCCCGGCAGAAGGCATGGGGAACGGTTTCTTGCGAAGCAAGGCAGTCAAATGAGGAACGGCTAACCTCAAAGGATTCATTACAGAGAACTTGCCTTCAAGCCAAATGGCACTTGTGTTATTTATGGGTTGTTGTTCAAGAAGTTGACAATCATTGGTGGCACAATACAGGTCGCGACGTGACTAATCCTGATACGGGTTGGGGGAAACAACCTTTCAGCCAATAATATCATCCAACGCTCCCGAGCTCAAGCGAAGTCAGCCCTGTGACCACTTGATAATGATTATGGTAAGTACCATATGGCATCTTGACGTCAAGCAAAGTCACGTATAGTAAGGTATAAGTTAGATCTGGGCTACAAAAACCCGCGTATTGTAATTTCACGTGATTACAATGGCCATGAAGAGTGTTTGTATTGCAGCTAGTGCTTAATGAAAGCACTAGGTCAAGATCTAGGTAGGTGATATCAGCGTTAAATTCCCTATCACTTTGACTCATCATGGTACTTTACTACCATTAAGATAAAATGAACAGCATCAAATAAAACTGATGCTCAAGACATGTACTAATTACCACCAGGTACCAATCAATATCAAAGTATACCCCAAAGGTTTCGACAGGGTCCTGTCCAGTCGGCAGAAATTCCTGGGTTGGCTTTCCATGACTGACCGTTGATAGCACGTGTACCAGACAGCTTAGGAGCAACTGTGCGAGCTGCTTTGAAAGGAACAAGGGATAATGTATATAGTTAATATAGGATGTGTAGGATGTGTAGATAGGCGCTACCGCCATGTTGTCCAGGCTTCCTCACATAGTCATACTTGGTTCCGCTTATAACATAGCACTATATTCTCCAGCGCACGCTGGCTCTCGCAACGTCTACTATAAAGAGCCTTCGTGGGGTGTCACAAAAAAACAATCCTGTAGAACCTGTAGGTCCATTTACTGCCTCTCTTTAAGGGCTGCTTCGCAATATGGTTGCGGAGGTTTTACGCAACCCCCTGGTTCACTTAAGGGGCCTCAGGCAGTATATTCAGGCTCTGTGCAATAGTGGCCTATGTTACAGGCTCTAGCATGTAAAGAACCATTTAATAAATATTCTGCCGGTAGAATCGCTCCTACTACTCGGAAGAGAGGAATACGGGTTTGTTGTTATGGTAGGGAAGATGGCCTGAGGAGTGGCTGTCCATCGGCTGTTTGGAACAGTAAAGCCGACCGGAACCCGGATGCTCACTGATTTCTTTGCTCACGCCTAGTTTGGCCTAGCTAGTTATGCAAAATGTACGTAGTAAATGGTTAGTTAGTGGCAGCGAAAGCAGGTCTAGACTAGACTAGTCAGCGGGAATGATAAAACCGCACCGTCTGACGGCCGGTCGATTTAGCGTCTGTGCCGGTGGCATTAGTGAAGCTGTGCTTATTTGACAGCGGCCCCTCCCCCTTAGCAGCAACGGTTCGTGTGCATTTCTACCGCTGCTGCATGGGTGAGCGAAGGTGATTGCATTTGAGATTGATCATAGTACAAAGTCACATATCTTTATCCTGAGCGAAGATAGAGTCTAACGGCTAAGCTTCCGATTGGAGAACGCATTAGTGGTGGTGCATAATTCACCCTGACCGTAAATCGGGGCGATGTGCTCCTGGCTGCTGTCTACGATCTCAAAAACCCTGTTGATCTCCGTTTTCTTGCTTATACCCCTACCCCAGCCCTTATATCTCCCTAATTCGGCGTTGTTGGGCCGACTTCCGGTGAAAGAAGAGGTTTGGCGCGACCCGAAAGGCGATCGAAGCTTAATGAGTTTGCGCAGGGACGAAAGGGAGCCGGACATGAGACCAAGGTTGAACTCGAGTTCCATCCAGATGAGTGAATTAGCCGCCGTGTCTGTTGGTGGTAAATATATGTAAGCAATCTGGATATCCTCATCAGACCACTGATACCATTATACTTACAGGTGTAGTCTGTTTCGTCCCTGGCATAGGTCAAAGTGCTGAAGCGAACCAGTGCGGCGATGCACGCTGTGAATCCTGAGTGTACATAACAGTCAGTTACTATTTGGTTCAGGTGAGGCTTTCGCATACCAAGACAAAACAGTCCAAGTACCAAGACCCTTCGTCCAAGTGGCATCTGAAGCTGCCACACGCGACGGATCGGTAGTACGAGGATGGTCAGATCCATCACAAACATGATAACGCCCTGCGCCATGAGGATGGCAAAGGAAGTGTCAACACTGTAGCATTTAGCATCAAGGATGGTTTTGTCGAATCCAGCGCGAACGGGTCGACATTGGAATGCGAGAGCCGAAGTTCCTGCGAGTGTGAAGGCCGCTAGGAATCCCAATATGCATCTGCCAGCGATGCTAATGCTGCGGGTGGGAAAAAGCCGCATTATAAAGACAGTTAAACTTGTCTTGACCGATGCAGCAACAAGCAAATAGCTGCAGAGCGCAGCATAGTAGATCTAAGTATTGCCTGTGACCTCAGCCGCTGTCCAATCTAGAGGGTGCGTTAGTTCAGCGTACCTTCCACCAAACCAGCAGGTCCGCATCTGAAACATCCTTGGTCTTTTTTCCGAGACCATAGTAGGTGATGGTATATGCAAGCGCCGAAAATCCGTTCACCATGATCTGTTGTCGCTTCAGTCATTTGTCTCACACCGCTCGAGCATTCAGAGAGACTAACAAGAGCGACCATTACCATCCAGTCATCCAGTCCCCATGAGTTTAGAACCGTTTTTCGTAGGTAGAGCTATGAGACATGTCATTGCATGAGTTGTGCTTTTCATCCTTATAAGGCGTCAGGTACATACCCGGAGACCGCAAACCAGGGTAGTTGGAATAGCAAGGACGAGGACTATGATACGGACAGTAGTAGTCATCGCAGGCAGACCACCAACTCGTGGTATGACCATCCAGTCCATCCTGCAATTAATCTAACCTCCCACACCGGTCATTACTCGTGTGGCAAGGTAGAAATGTCGAATCCTATGGGGGAGCATGTCGAGGATAAAGTCCTCCGTTTCGGCATTTAGCCAAGATTAAGTTGAAAATCTCTGATAAAGGAGGAATCAAATCCCTGTACTATAATGGACAACGCGAAAGGCAAGAAAAAAGTTGGCGTAGGATAGCGTGTGTGACTATCAGACTAGGGCTGTTCTAGCCCCGCAAATCCTGGGCTTTGTTCCGCGTGCCGGCTCCATGTCCGTTGCCAATGAGTCCTATTTAATGAGAACGGTGGATACCGGTCGTAGTTTCTCCTTTTCGTGAACATCCTCATTTCTTTTTCTTTATTGAGCGGGGTATCTGGTAAGCAACCCTGTCATTGCAGCCTCTCGCACTAATAAGCCATAATGAGCTGTGAAGCAATCATTGCAACGATTGTTCAGGGGGCGAGCGTTGACGCTTCCACAACCCCAACAATCAAGGACCTACTGTCCAAGTATGCAGCACTTTCAGATGATGAGAAGAACTCCGTACGGGCATCCTATCTTGCCCAAGTTTTTCCTTTGCTTTTTGGCGAGAATGCTATCTTCCGGGAATCGGACGGGTATGATGCTCAACGTCAAGTACCCTGGTATGACGATGACACACCCTCGAAGCACATGTGCAATTAGACTAATCCTGTTACACAGGTCAATCAATTGCTGGCTCCAGCCATTATTCGTGGTCACAGCAACGTCAGCACAGGAAGTCGCAAGTGCTCTTTCTCTCTGTCGTTTCTTCAACATTAACTTCTCTGTCCGAGGCGGCGGCCACCTACAGAACCCGGGGTTCACCAGCAATGATGGCGGAGTAGTCATCTCCTTTAGCAAGTTCAATCATGTCAAGCTGTCGGAAGACAAGTCTACCGCTGATGTAGGACTTGGACTGAGGTGGCTTGACGTCTATAAGGCTCTCGATCCTTATGGTCTTGCAGTGGCAGGAGGTCGGATTCCGACTGTCGGCGTTCCTGGTCTTCTCCTGGGAGGAGGGATCTCCTTTCAAAACAGTCAGTATGGAGTGGGTGCAATGGGCGTAACTAATTATGAAGTAATAAGATATGTACTGCACTGTCTTCCGACTGCTCGCTAATTGGACCGCAGGTTGTCCTCGCAGACTCAAGAATTGTCAATGCCAATGCCCAAGAAAATGCAGACTTATTCTGGGCCCTCAAGGGAGGCGGTCCTAACTTTGGTAAGCACTTTTCTCAGGGGTATAACGGCTTGAGTACTAACCAAAGCCGAAGGCATCGTAACCAAGATGGACCTAGTGACAGTGCCTACCGAGTCTTGGGCTGAAGCTCGTGTATACCCTCCAACGGCTTACCCCGAGCTCGCCAAGGGCCTTATGAAGTACCATGAAGCAATTGAAGTCGATAACAAGGCATCTCTCGTCTGGCATGCTACCAGCCAGGCAATTCTTCTCGTCTTCTTCTACTGTGCACCTGTCGAGAAGCCTGCTGCATTCCAGTCATTCTATGATATCCCCTTCTTGATGAACTTTGTGCCGCCCGGCACTCGCTCGATCTATGAGCTTGTTCAGGCAGTTGCCTCGGTTATCTCACCGGAGGTTTTGCAGTAGGTTATAACGATACTTCAAGATGTGTGGGATGCTAACAGACCCTTAGTCATGAGTTCCGAACAATGTCCAGTCAGCCGTGTTTAGAGTTGTACGAAGCAACCGAGAAGGTCCGCCGAGAGCAACAGGAGGCCTTGAGTGATGTTGAAGGCCTTGTCCTGACCAACGTATTCCAGCCCATGTCTTCCTTGGCCATGAAACAGAGTCAGAAGGATGGCGGAACGCCTCTTGGGCTAGAAGCAGTAGGCCAGCAATGTATGTTGCCCTCCTTATGGTATGCTCGCGAAACTAACAAGGTAGGGTTTTTGTCAATGGCCGACTGGAAACATGCGAAAGACGAGAATCGCGTCCGAGAAGCAGTCCGCAAGATTGTGGATGTTGCCGAAGCGACAGCAAAGCAGGCTGGCGCGTATCTTCCGTACCGGTATTCCAACTATGCGTCTCGCGATCAAGATCCACTATCCAGCTATGGTGCTGAGAATGTAGCAAAGCTTAAGAGCATTGCTGCGAAGTATGACCCTGACGGGGTGTTTCAGAAGTTGCAGAACGGTGGATGGCTGCTTTCGAAGGTAGGGTCGCAGGCAAGGTCTGTGAAGTTGGTATGAGTATTACATATCTCGGATAAACTTGATGAATCCTGTTCTTGGGAACTCAAGAAAAGTTGTCCGTCGAAACTGTAGATTGAGAAATATACGTGGTTATGTGATAAGTGATCTCCATCAGCAATTCATGCAAGTTAATGCTCCCATCTTTGAACAACTACAGCCCGAATCAAACCGAGTATAATTTATACTATTTGGAGACTTTTGCTATATACTATTGCCTTCCAAACAGACCCTACGTCTTCATATGGATGACCTAGCAAATATCCACATGCTATATTTAGGCCCTGAGGACTTTGACAAACGAGTCTAAAAGCTTGAGTCCTGCCAGAGCAAGATATTTCATTGTAGCTCATCTAGGTACAACAAAGACCTGGTCTCGTCATTTTGCTATAGAAAACCAAATGCTCATGACTAGTATAGCCCTAGTGCTGCGCATGGCAAGAAAGCTAGATACAATTGAAGCATAAATCATATAAGTAGCATGTATACCATGAACAAAGAGTCATTTTTATTCCATCAACGTTGGGTAACTGGAGAAGCAATAATCAGTGATTTGAAACCCACCAAGTTAAGTAATACACACTCACCATCACTTCAGCTTGCCTTCGGGTATACCTGGAAAGACTTGAATCCCTGACCCTGACCCTGAGTCCAGCATCCTGAGCCCCCGAAAGTGTGAAAATTATTGCAAGCGCCGCCACTTGCTCCATCGAAAACCCAGTCCTCGGGGATCTCAGCCCTGATAGACTGAATGGTTGGGTTGTATGTCTCAAGCGAGTAACACCCGTAACTCTGGTTTCCGGCGTATGACCACTTGTATTCGGTGCACTCGGTGTCGGTGTAGAGGGTCACATTCCAGTGTACTGCGATGGAAGTACCAGCCAAGGCTGCGATGGGGAGGATGGAGAGAAGCTGCATGGTGATGATACTCTTTGGTTTGAAGAGGAAGGTGTGGAGTCCGAAGGTGAGTGGAATTGGGCTTGAAAATTTTCCGTTGGTTGTCTGTGTGTCTATGGGGTAAAACAAGGGGCATATCTACAAATTATATATTGTCCTCCAACTCCTCCACGGTAGCTGTAGCTGAAGACAGGCTTACTAGATGATCGACATTTAGGCCCGTAAGGCGTCCAGTCAGTTAGCCAACGAAGTAAGTCGGTAAGTCCAAAATAGACATGTTCCAGATGTCTGACGCCTAAGCTGAAAACAACTACATTGTCCACCCATTAAAGTTAATGATAGACAGAGATATACGAAGTCTGCTGCGCTGTTCATGTGTCGATTGGTGAGTGTGGATAAGCGTGGGTAGATCGATCTGCAATGTGGACAAGGCTGAGTAGACCCTTGGAGGCCTAATCCATAGGATTTCTTGGCTTTTATGAACAACCCATTGTGGACTTCAGCTGCCAAGGGATTATGGTTGACAAGAGAGCATGAGATCGACGATTCAACTCTACTAATAGAAGTGGTCATGCACGTAAATGACACCTCATTATTCAGGCTACAACATGCAATGCAGTTGTTTAGATTTGGACCGAGGATGTTTGCACATGTGTACTGTTTGCATCATCACCAAACAACAGCTCCAAAGGTATCCACCATCACATCACATCACATCCTGCCCACCAGTACAGCATAGACATCATACCCCGTCGCTATACTCCTCCCTGCTGCATTATATACTATATATAACCCCTCTTGCGCAGCGTATCTCATCCCAAAACACACACCATGGCCGACGGCGGAGGCTGGAGCACAATCGAGTCCGACGAGGTACGCAACCAAGCACATCGCAGCATACATTAGCAGCAAACCTAACAAGCAAACCATCAATCAGGGCGTTTTCACCTCCCTCATCGAGAACCTCGGCGTCAAGGACGTCCAATTCGAAGAACTGATTTCTCTAGACGCAGACACAATCCGCTCACTAAGGTAACCCCCATACCACCTTCCACCAACACCAACACCCAACCCACTAACACCTACCTCTCACCCAAACCCAGCCCCGTCTACGGCGTAATCTTCCTCTTCAAATGGACCCGCGAAACGCAACAACCATCCACCTCGACATCCTCAACGACCTCACCCCCATCCGGCACCTACGACACCGACCCATCGCCTAACCTCTTCTTCGCGAACCAAACGATCCAAAACGCCTGCGGCACACAAGCCATCCTCTCCGTGATCCTGAACAACGACTCCTCCTCCTCATCCTCCTCCTCCAGCAACCCCTACCCCATCAACATCGGCCCGGAACTCCACTCCTTCAAGGACTTCACAGCGGGATTCCCACCGGACCTACGCGGCGAAGCGCTCTCCAACTCCGAACTGATCCGGAGCGCACACAACGCGTTCGCGCGCGCCTCGCCATTTGTCGACGAGACCGTGCGGAATAATCAGGACGAGGAAGGGGATGTATACCATTTCATTGCGTACACGCCTGTTGATGGGAAGTTGTATGAGTTGGATGGGTTGCAGCCGCATCCGATTTCGCATGGGGGGTGTACGGCGGAGGAGTTCCCGGAGAAGGTGATTGAGGTGTTGAGGCAGAGGATTGCGCGGTATCCGGAGGGGGAGACGAGGTTTAATTTGATGGCTGTGGTGAGGGATTTGAGGGTCACGGCGAAGGAGATTGGGGATGTGGAGGCGTTGGAGAGGGAGGAGAGGAAGAGGAGGGCGTGGGCTTGGGAGAATACGTTGAGACGGTCGAATTTTGTGGGGTTTATCGGGGAGGTGTTGAAGGGGGTGGTGGGGATGAAGGAGAAGCAGGGGGAGGGGAAGTATGAGGAGTGGGTGGAGAAGGCGAAGGGGGAGACGCAGAGGAAGTTGATGAGGAGGTAAATTATGCCTACTATTCTTATACTGTCTACATAACTCCGGCCGGACATCAAGATTCTACCTAGTAAATCCGTTGAGATTCATAACTATGACATATCTATGTACAGTGGCAAGGCCGATGTCTGTTGAAGAATCGCTTCGTCATTCATGTCATCCGACTCATAATCGTAAAAGGCAAGATATTATTAAGATAGGCTTAGTAGTCGATCATGCGAGATTTGATCACTTGTACCAAAGATTCGGGCAGCTCATCTTCCCGGATGATTTTCAGCGCCAGCAAATCGGACCAGAAGAACATCGCGCGGTCCTGCGCATAGCCAAGGTAGTCGAACTCTTCGGCTTCGTCCACATCGGCATCGACTGGTGGAGTTCCGGTGGAGTGGTTCGCTTCAGCTGTCACGTCTGAATGCACACCGTTGCCATTGGTACCATGGTGACCGTTTTTGGCTTTAGCTGCGGCTTCATCTGCTGCGATACCCTCCTCCATGCCAGGCACCTTGGCCTGCACGATTCCCCAGGCTACCCACTGCGCGGAGTTGAGTACTCGCCACAGCCTGGTTTGTCGCGCGTAAAACTGGATCTTAGCGCTGGTGCTGTCCTCGTGCGCTTTCTCGATATCGAACCGAGAAGACACGTCCACATCCGGACCGTCATCCAGGCTCAATGGAGCTAGTGATGAGGTGTTGGTGGAGAGGCCTCGCATCAAAGGGGTGATGGACGGGGAGGCTTGCTCGCGCAATCCGGGTCGATGGCTCAGATACGCTTCAATGAACTGATGCTGTTGCTCTGGAGTCGGATAGCGGCTGGTGTCGCATGCCCACGGCCGCTCCGGATCATGATAGTTGTAACACCATTCAGTCTATTTGGGTCAGCAAGAGACTTTCAGTCATTGAGAAACATTTGACTTACGAAATGGTTGGCAAACTCGATTCCTGGAGTGTTAGCTGACGCATACTCGAAGTCGATAACAACTAGCTGCTTATGCACGTTCTCAGGCCGAAGCAGCGGTGATTCGTGGCTGGGCTCCATCCGAAGCAGATTGCCATATTGAGTCTGAATCATTAGCGCAGTCCCTGAGGATTGGAATGAGGCACCTACATCATTGTGCGCGAACACCAACTGTCGCTTTATTCCGTCCATGCCTCCACAGCTGGACAAAAGCCACTTACGGTATCCTTCAACTGCTTTCCTGAAGGAGGGCCAGGGAACACCGCAGACAAAGCCTCGCCGGCGCCAAGCTTCGGATGCTGCTTTGCTCTTGTTGTGCTCAGATCGGATCTCCTTGTCCAGCCAATTGATTACTTGCTCGCAGCGGTCTACCCACTTATCCCAGTTCTTGAAGACCATGGGCCCCCCTTCCCTCTCATCTACAAGGAGATCGATTCCATCGTGCAGTTCCCTCATTCGCTTCGCGATTTGTTTCATAGTCGGAGGATCGCGGAGCTCCTTGGGTGTGAGTGGGCGAGCTTCGAAGTACTCTTCAAACCTCCCGTTTTTGAATGTACCCAACACCTTCGGGCCAATATTCTTTCGGCCTAGACGGCGGAGGATTTGAAGCTCGTTATCTCGGTCAATCAAGTGATCTACTTGTGGCCCATAGATACGCAGCAGTAGCTTCCTACGAAGAGTTAGCTTCTGGGTTATGTGTCTGATCCAGGTAAGGAAACTTACGGTGGAGGTTTTCTGGGTACCAGTGAGTATGATCCATCTTCCGCCTTGGGGACGGGGATATTCTGTGGCGGTGTAACTACATATACGGCATTGGTTAAGGCACCACTAAGTCGAACGACGCCCATATCAACTGCAAGTTCCATGGGAAGCTTTCGCCATCCTTTCAGCTGCATGGTGTGAGTGAGCCGAAGGATTTCACTCTTGAACAGCGCCCAGGCTTCTTTATCCTTCGCACGTCTCGCATTAACACTGTTCTCATTGTCGTCATCTTCTGTACCACCACCGCCGCTATAAGCGAGGGTTTTTGAGTTGTCCAGCACAGCATCCACGCTAGGGGCGGCTGCCTCGTGGTCCGAAAAGTCGGATTCGGACGCAGAACCCCTACGCAACCCCTTGGAGTATTGACGCCGACGACCAGATCGTCGAGCGAGGTGTACAGAGTCTGTTCCTTGCCGTGAAGTGGCGTACTGAATGAGAATCTTCTCCAGCTTGTCGAGTGCCATTGCGGCGTCAGCACCAGAAGGTAGAGGTCTTTCCACGAGGACGCTAGCACCGTCATCATCATCGTCGTCACCATCACTGGCGACACCATCCATGGCTAAATCTGTAGCCTTGTGAGACCTCCGTTTGGATTTTTCGCGCTGAAGCCATTCGTAGACTTGTGCGAAAAGGCTATTCTGCGGGTCTTCCTCGCCAGTTTTCGACACGCCATCTTTTTCAAGGCGATGTGCGGGTTCAGTAATAACGCTGGATGTTTGACTACTTAGAGAAGCCGGCTGGTGAGTAGGCAACCTGGCTGCCGATTTCTTGGGTGCGGGCACACGATGTCTGAAGCCATTCCCGTCTGACCCAATTGCAGAAGACTCGTGTCCATTTGCGTGGTGATGTCTCTGGGGGGAGACGTTCAAACCAGTCCCCAGGATAGGTTGTGGTCCTTTAGATGACAGGTCAGAATCCATCAACACTTTAGGGGGGTAGTCCAGACAGGGAAGGTTAAGAGACCGCAAAAGGGAGGGGTTAAGGACGGTTGATCGAATACCAGCAGTCGCAGTGGGCTATGAGATCATATGGCCCGGAAGCAGAGCCTCGGAGAACCTACGACTACGGGGTTGTGGGCGCCCAAGGAAAGGGGGAATGGGTTGACGGGAAGTTAACCAAGAAAACAACCTACCATCAAATTCAAGACCAGAAAGACCGGTCTGGTCGGTGACTGAGGGCATGTCCAGACAATGGCGAAGAGTACGTCGGATTGGCAGAAAGGGTGATCTGGTAACCCATCCAAGGCCGTAAGTGCGGGAAGCAGATCACTTTGCGACTGGACGTGGCGTAATCGGCACCTGGAAAATGGCGGAGAATTTGGAGCTGGGGATCCTCCGTACTATATGCCAAGTCCGTGCGGGTACACTGGGAGAAGAACGGATCGCAGGAGTTGGAACACTCAGGGACGGCCCAGGGTGGTCTTTGAGAGAATAACTGGATAGTGGATG